TTATTATTTGATATACTTAATATTTTTCTTTCTAATAAATATTATCTTGATAACTACGAAAAAAATTGTTCACTACAATGGGATATGCAGATTCTGAAAGTTCAGGTCCACGAAGCCGTCCAGACTACGAAGAGGAATCACAAAGGTTTCGAATTCAGTTAAGAAAAACGGGTTTTCTAAATCCAAATCTAAATAATAGCTTTGATAGTTTAGATAGGAATAATAAATTAAGTGTACAAATGAAATCCTTTAGTGATAAAGCCCAAGCTCAACGTATAAAATATATTAAAGGAAAGCTTGGCTTAATTAGTCCTGAACCTACCCGATCTATTCCTGTTACTTATGATGAAGCACAATTACAATCAGCCGAAAGTTCATTGAAGAAAGAAGAAGTAGTATTCGCGATCGAAACATTAGTCGAATCTCTAAATGAAGCCAAACGACCACAATTTAGGGGATTAAAGTCAAAAAGAAAGGAAGAATTATTATTAATTTTGCAACAAGTTCGAGATCTTCATAATGCAACTGATGTTGATGCGGACGAAGAGACAAAAAAAAAAAGTAGCTAAAAAATACTCTGAAAATTAAAAAAAAAGGTGGTTATTTAAGTAGTCATAAATAAATAGCCTTTTCAAATATAAAATGAATAAAGCTACAAAAAAGAAAAAAAAAAAGGTATGTTATACTTATTTGATGTTGTATAGTCGACATTTCTGAATGCACGCAGTGAAGGTGCGCACAGCATTTCTTAATCTAGCTTCTTGATCCAGCGTATAAAAGTTCTACAGTAAAACCTTCATAAGTGCACCCTCTATACAACTATAAGTGCACACCCTCTCTAAAATGCACACTCAAGCTCTGTCCCAAATATATACATGCCTCTATAAATGCACTTTCTCTTGTTGATCTCTAAGTGCTGAAGTGCATGTTGCTAAAACTTGGCCCCAAGAGTGTGCACTTATAGAGTTTTTACTGTATACTAATAAGCGCGCACGGCATTCTAAAAGTACTTTTTTTGCCGTCTGATAATCTACTATATATATGAAATTTGATAGCCAATCAAATTCAATTTCACGAATAAGTTCTAGAAAATTGTATGATGTCGATCGTCGTAGATTATATCTATATTCAGTAATGCCAAATTTGGAAAAACACCAGATTGTAATAAGTAAAGTTATTGAAAATGCTGTTTTTTAGATACTTTTAAAATTTGATGCAATTTGATTGACATTTCATTAGTCGATTTTCAGATTATATGTCTTGAGGCAGAAAATTTATTTTTTGCACCAAACATATAACATGAAAATCGATTAGTGAAAAATTAACCAAATCACATCAAATTTTGAAATATCTAAAAAACAGCATTTCCAATAACTTTGCTTAGTGGATGAAATGGCAATTTGCTTAGTAAAAATTTGGTTTACATAAAGCTGATGTATATTACCACTACTGTATTGTGATTATCACGAACTCTTCTACTGATTGGTTGATTTGCTTAAGATAGTAAAAAAAAAAATTCTTCTGGTTCTAAGTTTATATTTTATCTCTTAATTAAGATATTAATATATAATAGTTAATATAAATATCTGAAATTTATTATAATAGATAAAATATTTTATT